GCGCGACTCTGCGCGACTCTGCGCGACTCTGCGCGACTCTGCGCGACTCTGCGCGACTCTGCGCGACTCTGCGATCAGGGCCGCTCCCACTCCCACTCTGCCCCCCACCCGTCTCACCCTACCTGGAATTCCTGGTCCAGCTTCTTCTCGATCCAGTCCGTCACGTGTGCCAGTGTGACCTCCCTCTCGCCCAGTTTGGGACGGGCCTTCAGCTCCAGGTGTGGCGGGCTCCTGAACCCATACCTTTCGGACAGAGGAGAAGGCGCCCCATCAGCACAGCTCGCAACTTCCAGACGGCCCGGGGATGTGGTCCCCACTCTGATCCCGGGAGGGACCCAAGTCCAGCCGGGGCCTGACCTGAGCTCTGCTCTGACCCTGTTAGCTACGGGGCAACGCCATCCTGCGATAGACAAGTCGACACCCTGATCTAGAACTGGGACACCCCTCTTAAAAATGTGTCTGGTGCCCCACGTCTGCAGTTTTTGCCACTGCTAGGGGTGAAAGTGCTGTAGACCCCTCTGCGCAATCACAGCGACACCCTTTTATACAGCTGGGTTTGTCCTCTGATACCTGCAAGCTGATGACAGGAGTGAGGAAGTGATACGCTGTTAAGTTAGTAAAGGGGTTCCTCTAGAGTGAGTTTTTTCCCTCACTCCAACCTAAAAAAAGTCACAAAGCTCACAAAAAGGAACAAAACAATCTTAAACCTACTGTATACATCGTAAAGAGTTTTGTTTGAAACGGAGCTCTTACGTTTTTCAGCGTCTCATGCCAATTCTATTCGTGCTCATGCAGCTAATTCACCAGCAGGGGGCAGGAGAGGAGATGCTCTGGGTCGCCTGTGTCACTCTGTCGAGCAGAGTGAGGTCAGCGCACTTTTGTGTGTCTGGTTGCTTGCCTTTCTGATCACAATCCTCTGTGCGCCCTGAACTGACAGAAGTAACCCCGGAAGGTCGAGCGGTCTCGGCGAGCGGGGCTGTCCTCGCTGTGGGCTGAACGTACCATACTCGGTCAGTGGGGGGCGGGGGGATATTCACAGCCAGAGTCCCCCGGCACTCCTGCACCTCCACTGTCAGCAGCAGGGGCGTGTTGGACACCTCCTCTATCTTCTTCTTGATGAACTCCGTCTCCGTCGCCTTCTGGAAATACTTGGACTTGGTGATCTTGTCCACAAACCTCATGATCTTGCTGGCTCTGTGTCCTCCGACGTAGCTGGAGAAGAGGAGAGGAGAAGGCTGTGGCTGTCAGAATCTGCTGGTGGCAACAACAGGCCCAGCTCGAAAGATAAAAAGGCAAAAAGGTAAAGATGTTTTTCTGGAGAAATACGAAAGAAACAAAGGAGGTAAAGAAAGATGGGAGAGAGCTGGGCAGTAAGGAAATAAGAGTCCTCACCCCTCGGCTCCCGGCACCAGGCTCTTGTCGGCCGCAGTCACCTCAGGGGGGTCTTCCTCATCGGACGAGCCTGCGCTGGACGACTCCTCATCGCTGTCTGCCAGGCAGTATGTCCGGGGCCTGGCCCTGAGACACACAGCGCACAAACATGACATCAACACGCGCACTAACGCCACACACACATATACATACACACCCTGGCCCCTAGACACACAGCACACACACACTGTGGCTGCTCAGCATTTCAGAAGACTGACATTTCAGACATGAAGATTTCACATTTTTCTTAAGATTCAAACATCTCAATGTAAAGAAGTCTGAAAACTAGCTTCACAGATACACCTCTCTTTGGGACAGCTGTATAACTGTGAACAGGGATGGGCGATAGTCTTGTGACACAGGGACACTGCTCTCCAGCACCGTGGACGACTTAAGGAGGATGCCTTAACTGCCAGAGCAGCCAACACAACCCAGCAGTGCAGAGACCAGTGCTCCAGTGTCTGCACTGAAAAACTGAGGAAGGCAGAAGTATCAGTGCCCCTTTAAAGTTTTATTTACCAAAAAACTTGCCTACAAGGGACCAAAACTGGAACACGTATGATAAATCCAGCTCCCAGTTTTTGTTACACCTGGGGTGGGAGGGGTTGTAAGACTGTCTCAGTACTAGGTTGGACAATACAGGTAGCAGATGCCTATTGAGATATTCTGCAGTTTGGGATTACAGTGTTGTGAATCTGAGAAACTTGATCTATCACAACTTGCTTTTCTAAAAACAGGTTCTTTCAGGTAATCTTTTTATTGTTATTAACCTTATACAGTTGTGGCCTTCTAAAGGTTGGTGTTTGCAAGAACAAAACAGCGAAAATCTGATCCTGAAAAATGAATCCGGAATCCAGCCTAGCAGGTGAGACATCTTTCAAGAAACAGTGGTCCGTAACCAGAAGCCTAGTGCTTAATTCCACTGACTCAGTGCTCTGAGACACAGAGGCACCTCTTCTGCCCATCACTTAACTCCAGCTAGCAACATGTTAGCAACGTGTTGCAAAAACATCCAAGGGGAGTGACAACAGCCACCAGTGGCTGATGGCCAAACTGTGCGGAAATTCTTTTGAACGCTAAAGGATAAACAAATCTTTAATTAAGCTTTGCATCCAGCGGCTGGTTGAAGTTACAGCCACGAAAGCACATCGTTCTTCCTGCAACTTTTGTATGACACAGACCTACACAAGGCAGACGGGAGGGAGGGAAGCCATGCCTCTGTGTATCGTGCACACACAGGAGAGAGCCGTCTGGACCGGAGAGGACAGCTTGTGTCTGCGCAGCTGTGCCGGAGTGTGTAGCCGCCAAGGGCCTGCTGCTGTAGTGTGTCTCACCTTGAAACGACTTGGCCGACGTTTTGTACCCCTTTTTTTTGCTGCCCTATATTCATTCATGCATCAGTCTGCTAAGGCTAGAGACACCTTCACTGTATCCCTGCATTTAGCGATTCTTTTTCACTCCGAGACTCATGTGATCAATTGTGAGGCATTTCAAGATGGTCATCGAAATCAACAGCAGCCATTTAAATGATTTAAACAGGGGCTCCCTAATAAAGATGCATTGCCAGCAGAACTCCTCAGCACGAAAGGACGGCGGGCAGCTCTGATGCGGAGAACAGCGTCTGAGCACGAGGTATCCAGCATGCTTCAGGTGCACCCGATGCTGGGACAGAAGCACTCTGTCTGACTGGGAGGGACACGGCCAGGTCCACACCTGTCAGTCCAGTCTCATGCAGGATTAGTGAAAAGCAAACCCAACCTCAGCTGAAGCAGCGCCACAGACACATCTGCAGCACATCGGAAATGTTGTCACAGCCCTGCCGTTATTTATGGACAGCAGAGAAGATTTTATTAGAGGGGTTTAGTTTAACTCTTTTTTTATTTCCAACAGGTCCAAACGTCTTTTCACGAGAGCCGACACTGGCATACGAGCGCACTCCACTTCGGCTCAATGCTTTGCAGACGATCGTGCGTCACCCCTCCCTGTCCACCCTCCTTCATGGTCTGCCAGCTCTCACGAAGAGTAGTTTAATGGATTCTCAGAAGCAGATGCAGACAGGCGGGGCAGGGTCTGGAGGGAACTGGGGGTGAAAGAGACTGGGAGTTCTGGGACCAGAGGGGAGCGGACCCCTCTGAGCCACAGTCAGGACGGCCGCAGCCTCTGCCCGCTGCTGTCCTTGGCAGTGACACGGGCAACAGCAGGGAGGGCGATGTGGGGAGGTCTGTCTGCGCAGGGCTTCTGCAGAGACAGCGCACAGCGCAGAGCGAGGCAGGCGAGGCCAGGAACTGCTGGGCTGAACGGTTCTGACGCCACAACGAGGTCAGCTGTCCAGGCACACCAGGCCTCGGGCACAGCGTGGGAGCTCTGCAGTGACCCCTAGGTCTAATACCCAACCCCAGTTAAACTCTCAGGTCCCAGAAAACCCAGTTCCACTCCCCCGTGTTCATGATCCCACGCATGAGCATGGGTCCCTGTAAAAACCTGCCAAACCACACTCCCCACCTCTGTGGGCAGGGCTGAAATGTAACGTTAAGTCAGGTTTCAGTGGCTAAACAGGGCTGTTGTACAGTAATATTTTTTCCAGTTCTGGTCAATTTTAGACTGGAGCTCAGGTACATGTTCAGTTACTTTTCAGACTATGGTTAGGATAGGATTATCTAGGACAGAACTAGCCTGGAGCTCAGAGTTCACTTACGATTGTGGTCAGGTCTGTATGAGTTTACTAAGATACATCGCCTATAGTGCAATTTCTCTTGTCCACAAAGAAGATGATTAAAACAAGACTGATTCAAATTAAATTTGGGGAATTTTCAGACTGAAAGCATGCCTGGTTATTGATACGAGTGCTCTTTTGCCAAAAAGGTCTGTCATCTCTGAAGGAGAGCTACTGAGACATTAAGTCTTGCAGGTGGTTTTGAAAGTCTGTTGCAGTGCATGGTGTAGATTCAGTTGAGTGTGGGTTTATTTTTCTAATCAAATTAAATAAAAAACAAAACAAGCAAAACCTACTTAAGGAAGCAGATCTTAAGAAACAACAACTTGCACAGCATATGGACACACAAAGATAGTGCAGCCACAACTCACCAGAGAAAGACACATCCACAGATAAATGAATCCAAAGACATGATTAATGGACAGACATGGAGAGAGAAATGCACAAAGAAAAGTTACTCAGCGTTTCCTGCTGCTGTTGCAGCCATCAGCAATACAAAACCAACTAATTCTAAATACAATCTGCTTTCCTAGGTGGAGACGCTACAGTTCCCAATAACATTTCCCACGCAACATCCAGAAGCTGCTGCAGTTCTCTGTAAACAGCAGCTGCTCTGTAAGCAAGCCATGAGAAGATGTTCCTCCGCCAGAGAACCTCAGCTTCTTAGAACGCCAGCCAGCAGGAGATTATTTCTAACACCCACACTTCTTAACAAGCTGTTAAAGTGCCTTCTTGTCATTCTGAGGGAAGCCGACCCGACTGTTCTTTTTAGCAGTACTGGAGAGAACATTGACTCCGCTTTCGTTCTTTCCCTGGACTTCCTGTCAAGCATTGGCACTTCCTATTTCTGGGATTTCTATTCCCGATCCTTCTCCCACGGCTCACGATCAGCCTGAAACCTTTAATCTACTGTAACTCGTAAACAACCTGTACTACAGCAGTTTGCCTCGAGATGGGTGCCGATGTCTCCTCTGAGCCAAACTGTGTTTCTCTGCGTTATTGGTCTGCTTAGTCACTTCCAAGTGTGTTGTCAATTGTAAAAGGTCTTGTGCAAAAGGCAGACGTTCGAAGGACTTGCACTGAATACCAAATAAACAACCTGTCAGATTAATGCTAATTAAAACCACTCTTACATATGCACGGCTCTTCTCTGCAGTGCCTGAGGACTTGTTGCAAAGCTCCTTGAGGAAGTGCCGACTGTTAACTCAAATCCATGCAGCAAAACTGGCAGCTCAGAGGTGCGTTTACAGGCCCACAAGTACACAGATCTAAACCTAACCCTCTCAACACCGGGACGTGTGCAGTTTCAAAGTGTTCCGAAAATTCAGTTTTCCACAGTCCTCCAGGGAGCCCTTAATCCTGGAATACCTTTTTACAGGACAACGCTGTTTGGCTCCGCCCCCTCAAAGCATGCTGGGACGCCCGCGGCACGGCCACGCTTACCCTTCCTTGCCGGTCTCCCCGAATCGCAGCCCCTCCCCCAGCGGCTCCTTGCCCAGCCGCGTCAGGTTCATCTTCGTCTCCAGGGTCATCAGGAACGAGCCGTTGTAGGAGATCTCCAGGTCGAACCACAGCCCTGAAGCACACACACACACACATGGCACTCATGAAGGGCTTGGAGCTTCAGGGCATACCAGGACAGCAACACTTCTATTCAGATTAGCTGTGTGTCTGTTTGTGAGATCAGAGGACAGATCAGACTCCCAGGTTTCTCCCTCCTTGCGCTTGAAGAGAAGAGAAGGCAAAGCCAAGCTGCTTATCATGCAGCTCCGTCTCCCCTTTCCCTGCACACCGGTGCTCCAACCTCTTCTTTGCTCCCCGCGGGGGGAGTCGGGGTCTGCACCTCGCTGCGGAAGAGCCTGGCAGGAGGGGAGCAGCTGAACCCCCAGCCTCTCCTGAGGACGGCTGGCTTGCTCACGGCCGCAGAGAGGGCGGAGAGCGAGGGCTTGAGGCAGGCGCGTATCCGAGGACACGCCACGCTTACACCCCTGGACAGGACGGCTGACCTTCCCACATGACTGGAACTGCTCAGATTATGATGTCACGTTCAGTTTAATTCTCTGTGAGCCGGATGTTCAAACACCGAAGATCGGTTCAGGGAAAAAGAAATACCTCTCTAATCCAGGTTCATCTTCCATGTCGAACCACAGCCCTGAAGCACACGGCACACTAAGCTCCCTTAGTCATCCTGGCAGCTGTTGACATGACCCCTGGGGATCCAGAGCCGCTAACATTTGTGAAACTGGAAATACACCACTGGAACACAGACAAGGCTGTTTTAATACTATTTTTTTAAACCAGGCCAGTCAACTCAACAAATTTCCCCAGCATTTACAGGAGAGATCTGTAGCATCTTGCTCATGGGTACAACACCAGGGTCCAGGGGATTTGAACTCGCAACCACATCCAGAGTCCAGACCACTAACCACCCCAAGCTGCTGCTGACTGCAAGCAGAGGGAATCCATTTCGAGCTTGAATGAGAATGAATGATGAGAATTGCTCTGAAAAAGCACCACTATGTGAAAAGAATAAAAACCCAGCTATGTTCTGACATGCTATATACAGGCTATAGCTGAGTACTCCAGGATCTTCCAATTCCGAACCCGAAGTTCCACTATCAGCCACCAGGGGGCATCCTGACCTCAGAGTGTTTGTTGGGGGGCCAAAAATATTATTTGTGTCTTTCTTGTTAAAGACGCATATACCGAGGCCAGCTTTCCACTGCAGTCACTGCCTGGGCGAATCACACCACTTGATGTTGACACCACTGGATGTACCCCAGGACCCCAAATCTCATCCACTGGCTGTACCCCAGGACCCCAGATCTCACGCCGCTTGTGGTACCCCAGGACCCCAGATCTCCAGCCGCTGGCGGTACCCCCAAGACCCCGTATCACCAGCCGCTGGCAGTACCCCAAGACCCTGGATCACCAGCTGCTGGCAGTACCCCAAGACCCTGGATCACCAGCTGCTGGCAGTACCCCTAGTTGCATTCTCTTCTTACCACTAATCTTGTTTAATCAAATCAAAAACGAGCACGAGAGGCTTCATACAGAGGGATAGGAGTCAAGGCACACGAAGTGCAGAGACTGGGCAGAAGGGAAATGTGAATCAATCAGCGTGGCTCATTCCTCAGGATTTTAAACCATCAGGGGCCCGTCACCCCTCCTGTTTCCAAAAATGTATCATCTTCTTTGCTTTTCTATTTTTCACCAGTTACCTTTCTGCTTTGCATCCCAATGTTTTGAAATCTCAGCGCCTAGTCGTCTCAGCACACTGCTACTCAACCCTGTTGCTGGGCGGCCGATCCTGCTCTCAGACAGCAGAGGTGCCAGGCGCCGGAGGTCCGACACAACTCTCACCGACAACACTGTTAGATCACAGGCGCTCAGCCGCCAGCAGGGGTCGCTGCTGTGCAGAACAGAGTGCACCCTGGCTGGATCAAGCCCAACCCGAAAGTGTGCCCTTATTAGCTGATCCCTCAGAAAATGCGCTTGTCACCTGTTTCCTGAGGCACTCCCCAGGGATTCTGTCCAGTTTCCTGCCTACACCTCTGCCTGTTCTCCAGCACTCAAATAACATTTAAGGAAGACATGCTTTTTTCCTTTGTTTTCCTTAGTTACTTAGGAAATTGCACAACAGTTGCAGAGCTCGCTGTCACACATGGTCTCGGTGATCAAACCCTGCGAGTCATGAGGCACTTCAGTTAGTCACTTGACTCCACACATGCTTGTGTGTTTTGGGGCTGTACCATGTGAGACTGTATTTAACTGGACCACAGTCTCAAGAGCAGCAAAGCCCACCAGGCTGGGCTGACTGTGCACACTGTAAACTTGCTCACTGCCTTCATTGACTGGATGCAGCCATTAATGTACTGAAGCCTTTAGATGAGAAAAATAGCATCTACTTTGTTCCACACACATATAGTACATGTATTTCACATACACACAGTAAAAAACTATGTATAATATACCTTGAATATAACACTCTTTGATTTAAGGCCCTGGTACAGTATCTCAGAACCAAATACATTAGTTTGTTACTATTGTGTATTAATACTGTTTCAGAACTAGTATTGTAGGCATTTCTTGTTTACCATTAAACCAGCCTAAACTACTATATAACAAAATATTCATAATTAAAAGCTTAAAATAATTAACAAGACTACCACTTAAATCTGGTGCTTGTTACCGATGTGGGCTGCAGATGTCTGTAAATTAAACTCCAAGCCTCCAAGCTACGATGCAGCAGAGATAATATTTTAATCAGTGTATGTGCTGTTTTTAAACAAAACACTCTCCATGTTGAATAAATATGACAACACTCTTCCCTCACAACTGTGTTTTAGATGCAGTAGAAAGCACAATCCTTTCCTCGGCATGCTGGCCATCTTTCTGCCAACCCTGTGATCCTGCACAATCGCTCCCCAGCGCAGGGCAGGAGGGCAGAGAGACAGACAACAACACAAGACACAAGAGCACTAGGAGAGGAGCCATTCACACCTTCCAGCCTGCTTGGTAATTAGGAGCTAATTGATCTCATCCAGCTGTTTCCTGAAAGAAGCCAGGGCTCAACAACCCACACAGCCCTCTGTGTAGTACCAGCGATCAGAGTTAAACGGAAGATCATAAAGATCTGCAGGACTGGTACAGGCTGTATCAATGCCATACGAGCTTTCTTTAAAAATAAAATCAATTTATTCTGAATTTCTTTAAACTTATTTTTTAAAATTCTAATGTAACAGTTTTCCTTCTAAATGCACCTTTTTAGTGTCTGGACAAATCGACTTGAGATGTACAGTATGTGTTAAAACAACAGACCCTTACTGGACAGACATGCAAAAATCCAGCAGAAACTGCTCTCTTATTTCCCTCCCAGCTACTGCCTCTCTTAACCTGCACCTACAGAACTGGAAATAAATTGTGCAAAACTTGAATTTTAAATGTGTGTGTGTAATAATAGGATTCTAATTTTACTGCACCCTCTTTATTCAGGGGAGATCTCAATATTTACCTGTAGCACAGACTCCATGATATGGGAAAGAGCACAACTGAATTCTGTAGCCTGCAAAGCAACACGAAGCCCCTTAACACTTGAAGCATGCTGGCTCATTTTAAATGAATACTCCTTCACGGTAAACCTGTGGCATAAGTGCTGGAATTCAATTGCCTGCATTAGACGACACTTCATTATTAGCCAAGGCCATGCAGAGCCACAGTGTACAGCCGAAGACAGAGCAGCTCCTAACGAATGATCAATATTTCAGCAGATGAGATGGGCCACAGGAGGGATTAATGCAGCCTGCTCACTGAATCCCAAAGTTTAAGTTAAATTCCGCTGTTCGAACATTTCAGTACTTCATGGCGTAATGAACTGGCGGGATGGGGATGTGGCGTCTGATCCTTCCTGCTGATGACCTGCGGGGCCCCCAGCCAGCAGACACACGGCAGGGATCGCAACTGAAGCCGCTGTGTCCCGGGTTTGTACAGCCCGGAGCTCCTCCTGCCTGGGTTCCAGGGGTGCACCTCCATACTTCCACGCAGTCAAAACACTCCCACTGACACAGTGGTCATATAGTCCGTCCCTGCTCCCAACACGAACCGTGATCTTTCACATTTAACCCCTCTCCCAAACGTAACCCTTACACCACTGCCAGCCAAGGGCCGGAGCCCCAATCTGGACCGGATGACATCACTGGGGAACCCTCACTTCTGAGAGATCCCTGCTTCTTCTGGGATTTGCACCATCCGTCTTATTAACGAGAGAGGAAATTACTTCTGTTTTCTACCTGGGAAATACTTTCAATTTGCTCTGAGCTTTTAAAAGGTCAAACAGCATTTGCAATCGGCATCAACCCTGTGCATGTTTCTTTCTTTCAGAGCTGCCCTCACTGAAATGTAGCCAGTTGGACCTCTGCAGAAGGCAGAATATACTCATGCAGGGTGTGTTTGATACACTGTCATTCCCATCTGTGTCTGTTCATCTTAAACTGATCACATGATCTGATCTAAGCTGTTTGCTTAGAAATAGGGGGAGGTATGCTGTGGTATTTCTGACACACTTGCAGAAATAAATTAAGCAAAAGCAGCAGAAAAGAAACACACAAATGCAGACCATTTAAAGGTATCCATAAGCACTGGGGATTTAGAGATCGACTGGAATGAAAAAAGAGACGAGATAGTTGTCCCCCAGGGATACAGCTCCACCCAAAGAACAGTAAAACTCCCTCCATTTTAACCCTTACCTGACCGGAATCCTGGTCACAACCTTAATTTATACTGGAGCTCAGTCAAGCCCTCAGCTGACTTTCATCCATAACTCTACCCACAATCCTAGCATCCAACGAACAAACAGGCCAACTTTGATGCTGATCCTGTCCCGTTCTAAAGTCTAACCACAAACCTGCCTATGGACTTCAAAATCTTTACCCACACCCAACCACAGGCCCCAAGACTGATGTGATGTCGGCTGTGTGGAGTGAATCGGTGTTGACTTTGCTCGACCAGGATCCCAGTGCTGACGGCCAGCCTGGAGCACCGTACCTTGGTGATCGACGGAGGGCTTGGAGGCCTGCAGGATCTTTGGAACCGCGACTCCCATGTCCAGCTCAGTGAGGGTCAGTTCATTCATGAAATATGGCAGCTGGGACAGAGGAAACAAATCACCGTTACTAACAGGAGAGCCCTCCTGACTGCAGGAGCCCTCATGCACACAGACGGGCACTGATGGAGGATTCAGTAGCCAAGGTTTCCAATGAAGCAACAGTGGGCCCGGAGGCACTGTGTGTGGAGCGCTGTTTCCAGCCGCCTGCAGGGGGCGCTGGGCCCAGCCATGGCTATAACACAGCACTGGCAGCTACAGCCATGAGCAATGAACTCCCAGGAGCAGCAAATTAACTTGTCGCCTCCTTTAAAATGTAAATTGCACTGTGTAACTGTGTGCAATTCCGTACTTTCCTGGAACTGATCCTAGCGCTCTCTTACCTGGGATAATCCCCTGCTTCCTGTCCTCTTGCCTTGCTTAATGATCCTCATTCACTTCACCAAGTAGGGGAGTAACTGTACTGCTTTTAAGGAAGATCTTACATAGCTGTCAGGGAATGTGTTGTTTCTCCTCTGCCCACAGAAGGAAGCTCAGAACAAACAACATAACATTGCTAAAAAAATCCCCCAGATAAGTTGGGGAAAAAAAGCAAACTTTGAGAACAAACCCAAAACATACGCACCGACTCCCGCGGTTCGGAGATACGCACCCGGATTTTGCTGAGTTTCATCTGGATCTTTTTAGACACCAGGTCTGCCCAGTACTTCTCTCCCAGGAAGTCCCAGAAGATCCGGCCCAGCAAGGCGTTGACCCAGGCCTCAGGCTCCTCCGCCTCCCCCTGCCCGCCGGGCAGCTGGAAATCAAAAGAGAAGACACTCAGCCTCCCGACAGTGTCACAGACATGTAGTCCCTACCGGGTGGCAGTCAGCTGACAGTGGTCCCCAGAGGACCGGCTGGACTGTCTCAGTGTGGCCAATCATAATGGAGCCCAGGATCGAGGGTTTAATGAATGAATTCCTTATACTTTTACGGTGCTTTTCTGGACCCTCCACTCAAAGTGCTTTACAGGTAATGGGGATCCCCTCCACCAGCACCAGTGTGCAGCCTCACATGGATGATGCGCCAGTCCGCTCCCCACACACCAGCTATCAGTGGGGAGGAGAGCAGAGTGATGGAGCCAGTTCAGAGAGGGGGGTTATTAGGAGGCCATGACTGGTAAAGGCCAGGAGGAAATGTGGCCAGGACACCAGGGTTACACCCCTACTCCTTTAGAGAAACACCCTGGGATGTTTAATGACCACAGAGAGTCAGGATCTCGGTTCTATGTCTCATCCGAAGGACGGAGCCTTTTTTACAGTACTGTGTCCCCGTCACCATACTGGGGTATTAGGACCCACACAGGCTGCAGGGTGAGCGCCCCCTACTGGCCCCACTAGCACCTCTCCTAGCAGCAACCTGAGCTTTCCCGGGAGTCTCCCCTCCAGGTCCTGGCCAGGCTCACAGTGCTGGGCTCCAGTGGGCGGCCAGCTGGGAGCTGCAAGGCGACGGGGGCTCTACGCACAGACTACAGGGCTCGTTCAGAAGCTCTGGGCCGAGGCGCCGGCAGGGCCCGTACCTTCTTGGACGTGGAGGGGCTGCTGTCGGCGCTGTGCAGGGGGCTGGCTGCGGGGCTGCCGGGCTGCGGGGGCACGTATTTGGCCATGTAGACGGTGTAGTCCAGGAGCATCTTCTGCCGGACGCTGGCGCTCGGCTCCTTCGGCCGGGGCTGCGGCAGCGCCTCGTCCACGCTGCCCTTGCTGCTGCTGCGGCTGTGCGAGGGCAGGAAGGCTGGGGGACAGGGGCGACAGGCGAGACCACAGCGCGTCACTCCTCCGGCACAGGAGCGCCCCCGCCGCCGGCCAGAAACACCGGCCGCCTCCGGAACGGCTTTGACCGCCAACCGCAGGGCCACAGCCCGGCCAGGGGCGTCAAACGCACATGGCTTTAAAACAAACGTGGCCGTGAAAACCTTCAGTGAAACTCTGTCATCAAGCAGAGCCGCTCCTGTTCCGTTCGCCCTCTCCAGCTGTGTCCTCTCTGGGGACAGAGATGCAAACCCGTCTGGAAAATAGAGCTACCACACCTGTAGGCAGGGGCTGATCAGGTACAGCAATGTGGGATCTTCAGTGTCACCACTGACAGGACAGTCAACCCCCCGGGGACGCCCCAGAGCAAGGACTGGAGTCCTTTAAATCTGTCAGGTTTCGTCAGGTTTCGTAGGTTGGCGAAACGCACAAGGTACAAGTACACTCAAGGGAAGAGGAACTTATAATGTACCACTGGTTGTGAAAATGAAAAATAAATTATATTCCATAATTCTGTAATATATTCTATCATATTTCTATAATTGAATACAGTGCAATAGGTCTGAGGTGACCATGGACACTGTTTTAATTAAAGTAAAGAAATGTGAGACTCCTCTGTCCCCCAGCTGCCCGACAGAACATTAAAGCATTTCTGGTCCATCAGAAATTCAGAAAGATCTCTAGAAACAGAAAAATCTAAAGAGGAACACGAGATGTTCATATTTATGCAAATGGCCTTAGATGTCAGCATGTTTCACGACTGATCGAATTACAGAGGCTTCCTCTTCTGAGAAAACCATGAAATATTGATGCCCCCCCCTTCCCTCTCAGCTTTGAAGACGATGCCACCTTCTTCTAAAAAACCCATGGTGAGACAGTTTTAGCAGGAAGAGGCTCACACGTCTGCAAGGAACAGCTGCTAGGAAGAAATGAGTCTTGCTTGCTTAATTAGTGGCAACCAAGGTCACTGGCGTCACTGAACACCAGGACAGATGTAAAACAACTCTCCAGATGTTGGGCATGGAGGCTACTTCGCACTAACGTGCACTGCAAAATTAATGATGCAGGACAAAAAAAACAACATAACCCAGATAAAATTAATTTATACAACGCTATGAAATGGGTTTCTAATTCTAACCTCCAAGCAAAGGGAGGAAATGTAATTTCATAGCAAAAGAGACCAGTTGTTTAAATGTCCAGGGAAAAGAGCAGCAGGACTTTTTAATTCTCTCTTTTTTGTCCTTGCTTTGAGGGGATAGAAAAGTGGGGACTGTGACTTGGAGACATTCAGTCATGTCCCTGGAGGTGGCAGCGTCGAGTCTGGAGGAGCCAGCAGACTGGTTATATTAAAACGAGACGACGCTGGGTCTTTGTCTCTCCCAGGGGAAAAACCAGACCTCCCCTCTCGTGAAACTGCTCGCCCCCGGTGGGGCAGGCTTTAGATCTGACAAGAGGAGGCCATCTGGCCCGTCTAGCCCGGACCGGGAACCGAACCCGGGTTCTGGCGGTGAGATCACGAGACTGCTGGGGTGGCTCTTTACCGGCCTTGGTCCCTGGCAGGCTGGGCGTCTTCTTGGCCTCGGATTTGAGTTTGGCAGCCAGAAGGATCCTGCGGAACCACTCCTCCTTCTCGCGGCCCGTCCTTCCGAACAGGAAGAGAGTCTGGTCCCGGTGCGCGGGGGCCCGGCCGTCCTCGCCGCCCGCCTCGCCCCTCTCCTCGCCGCTCTCCCTGTCCCTGTCCCCCTGGGCCTTGGACATGAAGTCCTCCTGCTTGCCCAGCTCGATGCAGATCGGGTACTTCTTATTCCACACCCTCTTGCGGGCCAGGCTGGGAGGGACAAGGTAGATCTGCAAAAGCCCAAGGAGAAACCGAAGAGACAAGACAGCCCTGTTGAAACCAGCTTACCAGTCAGAAGACAAAGTTGTCTTACTTTTGTTTTTTTGGCCCTGAAGAGCTTTTGTGTCTCAGAGAAGTGCACGTCACATGACAAGTTTTGGCGCTGCTGCGATGGTCAACAGGGTAAAAGAAAAAACACACGACAGCAGTTTTCAAACATACTTCAGCGTCCCTTTGCTCACTCCAAAGCCATCGATTCATTGCATTCAAACTCTGGGGGAGCGCCGCTGCGTATCTCGCCCTGTGGCACACAGTGTGTGATAAACACGGGCCAGAATGCAAAGCTCTTGGAAGGACCTCTCATGCAACAACACTGCTTTAAAACAAGCCAACAAGAAGACCCCCCACCGCCCTGCTCAAACGGGGACATTCGCTTAAGGAGGCGCTGGGGCCCAGATTAACACCGTTTAACCTTAGTTTCACAGACACAGACCTAAAGCTCGGAAGTGCATCCCCTTTTCCGTATGAAGATCTAAGAGTCTGATTAATTCAAAAATGTTGCACGCCCTCTCTCCCTCCCCGCAAAAAATGGTAAATTACAGGTTTCCAATCGTAGCCTCTGCACAACAAAAAGCTACCCTCACATATCAGCTTTCTTGACTGGAAGAGGCTGGCAGGTCTATTTCTGGATCAGCCCCAGGCCTAGATCTGGGCAGCGTCTGCCAGCGAGAGCTCCCCGAGGCAGTTTCACCAGCGAGGGCACAGGCTTCTGTGGAACCAAGCAGGGGCATCTCTATGCACCTCACAGCAGCAGAGACTCTGCAAAACAAGTTTTCTACTCGCTGAACGGCAAAGATAGATTTTCGGAGTTTTTAATTCGGGCTTAATCTGGAGAAAGAGAGCGCCGCAGACTAGGGGCCCTGATGGACCTCCAATGGTGAGACTCTTACCACACCCATAAGGCCAGCATGGGCCAGCAAGCAGGGACCTCACTTGGCCACTAGGGGTACAGGGAGCCAGCAGTCGGAGGCACTGGGTAAGCCAGCAGGAGGGATTCAGGACACACACACCTTGCTGTCCGTCAGGTCGTAGATTTTCTGGCTGATGTAGGTGACATCTGGCTTGGGCTCGTTGAAGGAGGCCCTCCTGGAGATGTTCCTGTTGGGCTTGGACAGCCGGAGAGTGCAGCCCTCCAGCCGCACGAAGACGGAGTGCGTAAGCGTGGCGTGGTAGGTCTCCGGGTCGTAGTTACAGATCTCGTTCATCCAGCCCTGGCGGGGGAAGCGAGAACGTGAGGAAGCTTGCAAGCCAGAGGATCTACAGCAGCTCGTTGGGATCCAGGGATCTCATGCGTCAACAGGAGCGCGGCTGCGCCCGCAGGGTCCCAGCCCGCAGCCCGGGCGCAGCTGCAGCAGGGCAAAGCAGACAGCAGACTGGCCAGGGCCACCTTTCACAGGGGCCTCCAGCGGGGGCCCAGGTCTTTGTGAACACTCCTTCACCTATTCCACTGGTCAAGAGCAACGGCTACCTTAACATTTTGCCTGCATCTTACTTTCTCTCCACCTTTGACAGCGAACACTTGGCAGAGTCCATGTGGACGGTCCCACTGCAGCACGATATCTAATTTTGCATTTGCGCCTGGGCCTGGGAGCAGACCAGCTGTAAGTGTTGTTTTGTAAGGGTGTGGGTTACAATTAGGCAACACACTTATAATCCTGCTCTCCATTTACCTTTTTCACTACAGATAAAAAGAACTGTTATCCTAGACAAAGCGGTCCTAATATCCTCAGCTCTGCAGAGACAGATAGCCTGGACTAATCACCTTCATTTCAGATTTTGCCATGACTGTATCCCTTTATCTTGTAATTGTGAACTAAGATGCCTAGATGCCCCCCTTTACCGGCTGGCTAAACATGATCTAAAAAGGGACACTGCGGACATTTCAGCCTATTGATTCTGCCCGCGTTCCCTGGCGGTCGGCAGCCCTTTCTTGAGGTCACTGTTATCAGCCCAATGATCTCTCGCTCAGCAGAGCTCCTTTCCGCCGGTCAATCATGAATCAGCACATTTTATAAACGCTGCCATTTACCGGGACAAACAGGCTAGGCTGCTTCTGTTCTATTCACCCATAGCAAGGCTCTCACCGATCTGCTCTGGTTTTACTTTAGTTGTGCTGATAGCTACTCAATTCAACCCTTGACTACACGAACCACCACCTTAATTAACCTTTTAATGACAGGTTTCAGCTCCCAAAACGCTGCAGATTTGGAGAAATTTCACATATAAGCCACATATTTGAGGTACACAATGGCAATACAAAATACCTGTGTAGGTAAACTGCTGACGCAGGTAAGAACGTAAGAGAGGTTAGGAGAGGAGGTCATCTGGCGTAAGGGCACACTCAGAGGGGACTGTCGGCTTCCTCGCTTGTCTCGCACGTGGACACTCCACAGTATAATACCTCTACAATCCAACACCGCTGTGTTGGCTCAACAATCATGTGTAAGTCAAGTTCTTTTCATTCTCAAAACCAGACAGCAACAGTAACCCCCCACCCCTTAATACTAGAAGCCTACACTAGGGGGCGCTCCTGGCTGCAATCAGGCTGCCTCAGTGGGTGGGCTCTGTACACAGACCCTTCACTGCCAGGCGAGCAGGTGAGACGACAGCACAGGCGGCTGTATGGGCTGCTACTGTTCAGACCTCCTGCTTCGCCAGGTGTCACAAACCCCATGGCCACATTCCACACCTGACTCCAGTTCCTCTGGTCGTTCCAGGTCAAAAAGGCATTTTTCCCCAAAAGAAAAGGGCATCGCTTCAGGCTACAGCACGTGTGTTTGCGGATTTCCACACAACCGTCCACATGTTCATGGGACACGTGAGAAGTGGGGGCTGAGCGTGTTGGTCTTCATCAGAAGATCAGAAGATGGACACTCCAGACGGACGCGCCTCACCTCCACCAATCCAGACACTCGAGGAGTGTCTGACGAATGTGCAGTACGTCCCACACCTTGGGAGCTGTCTTTCATGGAAGACTGACATTGACAAAGTCTTCCAGAATTGCAGGAAAACTGCAAGTACAGCCTTCGGCCAGCTGAGCAGGCGTTTGTCACGTCAGAAGTGAAACCGTTACCGATGGCCCACCGCACAGTCATCATCCCTGCTTTACTGTACAGGGCTGAAAGATGGACAACGGAGTCATATCACCCCACACAGCAGGTAGCTTTAGGTACTGTATCAAAGTGGGAGGACCGGAAAACTGGTCGAAATAATTATCTGGAAAGATATGGAAAATATTATTTGGAAAGATACGCATAAATCGAACAACTTTCATTCAAAAAATTTTTTTTTTTCAATTCCTCAAACGTTACACCATCTGTATGAGACATCAGCTAGCGAGAGGTATTACAACATCCTGACACCATGCTGTTCTGTGCTGGGGTTTTATGTTGGTCATGTGACTTGCCCACACTAAGAAAGACGGCCTGAGACTTCGAACTGGGCTAAGCCGAGACATGTGAGTGTTTTATAGCCTGAACTCTCCTGCACGGAGGCTTTCCTCAGATGAAGCAAGAGGTAAAAGCCACAGAGGACAGGAGTTCTAATGTTGCGCTGTCCCCAAGGGTAAGTGTCACTGCTCGCCGTGTCCTGGAGTAAAGAACTATTTTTAACTCCTGAAATCACCGGCTGTGACCAACGCTTGCCGCTTCCAACCGTCGTGCGATGTTATTACTGTTGCTGAAACCTTCTGGTAGGTAGGGGCTCAACAAACAAAGCCATCAAGGTCATGGTCCGGCAGGCCGGTTCCCCTTACCTGCACAGCTTCAGGACCGTAGAGAGGACAGCACGGGATTTTGCAGGCTGGCATGAAAACAAAACCTGAGTCTGCGCCCGAAGCTGGCAGTCGGGCTTACCACAGTGTCACACATCTCTCTCTCCATCACAGCCGAGAGGTTTCCCACCTTCAGCACTCTCTACCCCCTTCCACCCTCATCAGCCCACACAGCGCATGGCCTCTGGCCACTGTCCAGATGTACTGAAGACCGCAGTGATGAGGGCTCACTCCCGCAGAGGAAACCTGCCGCCACACGCCCGCAGAGACGCGCAGTCAAGCAGGAAGTGTCCTGGTCAGTCCAGGAGGGGAGGAGAGGAAAGGGCTGTGTATTGTGTTCACTTTCTACTGTCTTATTTATGAAAGAAATCTGAACTGCGCTTCACTAAATCCCACAAGAGCACCGTGCCAAGCAGTTGAAGGCTATGAAGAGTAATTTAATATACACTTAACCGTGACGAGAGAACTGTTCTCACTTCACGGTCGCGCGGTATGTGAGGAAGGCGCTGTGAGAGAGCTGCAGGGCTCATACAGACTGGAGAGAGGTCCACCTTCACCGCTGACCACAGGCCAGGAGCCAGAGCAGCCAAGGAAATGAGATTTCTGTGCTCAGTGGGGCTGCGCTGTGTCACAATACACAGACCCCGACTGTGGAACTCCTGCTTCAAGCCCAGCAGAAAGTCGACCTGCCAGCCAGGAATCACAAGGTCGGGGATATTCACCCGTGAGGCGAATTGGGAGTACGGTGAAATGCGACTTTTGGCACAGCTGGACACTCTCTGGTGTTCAGTCCCCTTCTCTGCTGCTAGCAGCTGCCCTGCGAAATAGCTGCATCAAGATTAAATTGGACAGACAATGGGTTTACAGTAACGACAGCAACTTTAAGCAAAAACTCAATTTCTACGAATGACAAAAATAAAATACTGCTATTCTGTATTGATCACAGTCTCGGAGAATATGCTAGTCTTCAGCATAACTGAAAAAGGAATCATTACTTAGTCTCTCACTGTATAAGAAACCGCAGCTGTGAAAAGCGATACCCTACAGCTGGAACACACTGATCACTGGGCCAGAGTTCCGCCTTTCACGCAATCTGAACACGGAACAGGCCACCGACCTCCGAACCGCACCCCGCCTCCAGATAATCCGCAGGGATGCGCTCCATCAGGCCAAGAGTGCGGTGAGGACTCTAGCCCAGCGGGGACAGGAATGAGCTCTCTAGGGCTTCTCAGAGCAATGAAAGCTCCTTCTCCACACCCCATCATCCCTCTTTCCATCTTTCCGAACACCTGTCCCTGTTTCCGGTACCTGTCCTTTCCCATCTTTGGCAAGTACAAACTGGACTGGACGGCAGTCCATCACAGCGCAGATCAACACAGGCACACACATTCACAACAGGGCCACTTTTCCCAGAAGCCAATTTACCCACCAGCATCTCTTTGGACTGGGGGGAAGAAACCGGAGCACCTGGAGGAAACCCATGCAAACACCAGGAGAGCGTATTAACTCCACGCAGGTGGCGCCCCAGGCCTGGAATCGAACCCAGGGCCCCAGCACTGCAAGGCAGAAATGCTAACCACTGCCCGACCATGCAGACCTCCCAATCTTTCTAGATTTTCATTACTAAGCAGGGTTCTGTCCTTGCTTTCAAAGTAAAATTTCAGTCCCATTATGTTATTAATAAGAAAACACCCCACAGCAAGTTTAGCATTTAGCATCGCACTAAGTGAGTCACAGCCTGGCCAAAGAGAAGCCCGAGCACCACAGAAGGTCTGGTAATTACTCTCCCAGATCACTGATCACCTCACTGCTGCTCACAGCGCCAGCAGCACAAGGTCTCCCAGGATGATGCCACTTTCTTCACAGACAGCTGTCAAAACAGAAGCATTTCCCAGTGCTACAATCCCTTGTGATGTTCTGCCATCGAGGCCCGGAACCCAAACAGTCATACTGAATACTAAAGGAAAGAACGGACAACCTACAAAAAGGTAGAAACAAAAATGATCCTAAACAGTTTATGGACTGCACATCCACTGAAGAGCAAGAACCACACAGCACTTGGGAAGCTGGTCTTGTGTACAGTTGGACACAGAGTCTGACTTTGTGCTATTCCACCTGTCTCCCATCGTTAATCTGCAAGGCCTTTCGCCTAAAGATGCCTTACAGCCTCCAGGGAAGATCCAAGCACAGGCGATTAATCAGGCTGACAGACGGGACAAGGAGCAACACACACCTCCGGACGCACACTAAAGCTGTGTCCCTGGAGCTGGGCGGTCCACAGCCCTTGTGTCTGTCCATGCAGAATAGATCGATATGCCCACACACGCAGGCAATAACAATAACAGGCTGCAATACTACTACGCTGCCGTGTTTAACAAGCTGCGAGGGCCCTGCTGCTGTACGCGGGAAGGCTCAGTCTGAGAGAGCCGGTCCAGGAGCGCTCTGACCGCACAAGGACAGAACGCAGAGAGGAGCAATCAAAGGCAGGGGAACTCACTCCGCATGAGCTACCCTGCACAGTCAAGCTACAGCTCGTTCGGCACACCGACATTGCGAGAGCCGTTTATCTATTTACTCTCCGACAGAACCGTGTCAAATCAAAGCCTTCCATCTCGGAGTCGGGTTAAAAAATATTGGATTTTTTCTTGCCCTGAGAGGAACAAGCCCACCAGTGGCAACCGAGGCCGGTCATCACGCAGGACGCAGGGCTGCTCAGATG